AACCCATCTCTGAACTTAAAAGGAGGGGGGTCCAAAAATCGTTCTCTAGGAATATAGTAATATATAGTAATAGTATAGTATAGGAATAATCGTTCTCTAAGAATATACCACAAATTTCAATTAAAATGTTATTATTATGCTTCCTCAGCGCTCGTTTAATCTCATTCATGTCTGAGAAGCCCATAGAGAGCATCATACTGATTTTCTCATCCTCGTCCATTCTGCCGATTTTGATTGACGATTCTAAGCTCGGGACATGCGTCTGAAAAATGATGAATGGTTTAATTTAACACAAATAGCAAAATTTCCAAACAATTTGTTCAGCTACAAGAAATATGGGATTCAATGGCAATTGATTTTAATTTGAATTTAAAGCACTTCTAGAAGCTGCCCAACTCTAGGCTCAACCACACAATAGCCAAAAAGCACTTGTAAATTGTAATAAATTAAAAATATATAAATTTCAAAATAATTGGTCCGTTCCATGCTACGCAGTAAGACCGCTGAAATTTATGATCTTAGGGAGGGAGGGAAAGCAGATCTTAATGCGTCACAACCACTATCTCTTCCGAACCAATCTGAAGCGATCAAAAATTCAGAATAATAAATAAAAAATTTCTTTTTTTTTCAAATCGAAAAATTAGTTTCGATATAAGAAAATTCAAATTCATTTGCTGAATGGTTTGCAAATGTTCAGGCTTAATATTTATATTTTTCCATCATTTGACATCAAAAATTTAAATTTCAGATTTGGAAACTTTCATGTAAAATTCAAGATTTTTTGAGCTAAAAATTAGAAATTTTTAATGTCATGATTTCTCAGATCGGAGAGAATAAAATTGTGGCCCATAGCGGTTCGCCTTCGCTTCTTTGATGACAATTAGTCGTCTTCATATTTTATGAAAAAGAATAAATAGTAGGCCAATTCAAGAGTCCGATATCAAAAGAGTGGAATAAGAGCGGTATCAGCTATTACCGCTCTTATACGAGGGGGGAGTGCAGAAGTATTCAATGGGTAACAACCGCCATCCAAACGTGTTTTGCGGCATGCGCGCTCCTCAATTGGTAAAATCCACCACCTCAATTGGTAATCAGACAAAAAGCGTAACATTAAATCCGTTATTTCTTAGAAATAAGACCATATTGGACTCTTTTAATGGCCCTGCTCCTCAGTTTCAAAAAATTAATCCATTAGTACGCCACATGAAGCGCTAGAAAAAATCCAATTCGCCTATTCAATGACTGTGTTCCATGATTGGAGTTAAGATACTAAAAGCTATTTCCTAAACACCGGTTTTAGTGTAAAGAGTGGTATTTGGGCGGAATTAGCAAATACCGCTCTTATACCAGTCTTAAGTTACCGGACTCTTGAATTGGCCTGTATTTAGAATTTATTGAAGAATTCTATGCCGCGTTCAATTCTCGTTATAATATCAACTTCCTTCAATTTTAATCGCAAAGTAGAATTCTCCCAAGTGATTTTATTAATCCGAATCGTTGGTATAAATGTTAATTTCGAATACTTCCTAAAAATTACCGTGGTATAAAAACAATGATTTTTTTATTTTCCTTAACATTTATGAGTAATTTCCTAGAGAACGATTTTTGGAATAATGGAATAATGCTTTTAACTTGATTCAGTGCTTCACCATGTGGATTTCTCCGAAGTAAGTAAATTGATAAATAAATTCCAAATTGGAAATTACCAATATCTAATTCATACTAAATCGGACAAAGTTTGTAAGGGTGTGCGCTATCTTTGCAGTGCCATTCTGTACATTAAAGTTAAGCTCACAGTTCCGTTTAAGGAAGATTAAATGTTGACATTGATTCCACAGGTTTCTAGTTCTAACAGTATATTTTCAGGGAGGTATTAGTATCTGGACCTCTATGGTTTACAGAACGAACCAATGAACACTTTGTCTTCCAGAGAAGAAAGGTTGTAAGATTTAATTTAAAATTTCAATAATTTGTTGAACTATTAAGACAAAATTGAACCACTTTTCTTGTGCATGATTCAAGTTTAAGCAAAATAGCTATTGCCATGGTAATCATTAAATCATTTTCATTTTGGAGGTCATTTTAGGTCATTTTAGGAAATTAGAGATCATTAGATGGTCAAACTCTGGATTAGTTGCTAGCTTTCGTTTGATATGCATAAATCTATAGGTTAAGCATTTTTATTTTGGAGGTCATTTTAGGTCATTAGAGGTCGTTAAAGGTCATTAAAATGTCAAACACTGGATTCGTTGCTGCTTCTGTATTCCCTGGGTTCCTAGCTTTCGTTTGATATGCATAAAGCCATAGTTAAAACATTTCATTTTAGAGGTCACTTTAGGTCATTAGAGGTCAATAGAAGGTTTAACACTGGATTCGTTGCTGCTACTGTATTCCCTGGGTTCCTAGCTTTCGTTTGATATGCATAAAGCCATAGTTTAAACATTTCATCTTAGAGATCATTTTAGGTCATTATAGGTCGTTTGAGGTCATTAGAAGGTTAACATTGGATTCGATGCTGCTTTTGTATTCCCTGGGTTTAGGTTTCTTTTGATATGCATAAAGCCATAGATAAAACATTTTATTTTAGAGATCATTTTAGGTCATTATAGGTCGTTTGAGGTCACTAGAAGGTTAACACTGGATTCGATGCTGCTTTTGTATTCCCTGGGTTTAGCTTTCGTTTGATATGCACAAAGCCATAGTTTAAACATTGAAAAATTGCACATCAGAAGTAAAATTTTTAATTCATCTAGTTAATTTTTACCCAAAAGTCGTTTATTTTCTCCTAAAAATTTATATATCGAGAAAATATACACCCTTGCTGTGTATTAATGATTTATTTATTTTCTTATATTGTTAGGGTCGAGGTAAACCTGGGTTTTACAATGCTCTTGTTGAAACCTTTGACAGTGTTCTCGACACAAAACCTCCACCTTTCAGGTAATATTATTAAGTGATATGAAGGGTATGTTCGCGAAAATCAAAATGAACTCTGTATCTGTCAATCTCTGTATCTGTTAAGGATCCTTTACAAGGAGGATGGAAAGGATTCATTTACATGCATCTCCGTATCAATGTCTGAACATGAAGCTGAGCAAGACTGGATTTGGATACAGGAGCAACTCGTACCAAAGGTCCAGTTTTATTTATGAATAGGGTGAGAACCCAGCTCTGCCCAGGATACTCATACTTGCCCCCGTCGTTTACCCGCGCCTGGTCGTAAATTACGTTTTTAGCTATTCTCCTCTGTACAGGTACCTACTGAGCTACTCAACTTTAATTCTCAAAACCAAACTTAAAACATTCCCGTGTTGGCTCTTGATCGGACATCCAAAAAAATAGAGCTGAGATTACAACTTTATATATGTATAGATGTTAAACTTTACAAGATCGTTTCAAAGTTAATTTTTTTTTTTAGGTGAAAAATTTTGAAAATCCTGAAGAAGTGACAGATTTTGTCTGTGGTAAAATTTCCAGCATTGTGGCGGACGCGGGGCCAGAAGAAGATTTAAATACATCTGCAGAAAGGTGGATTCTTTTTATTTATATTTATTTTTCTGGAGGGGGGGAGGGGGTGGTTTTTTAATTACAGGGCCTTATATTTTCTCAAAGAAATCTTTCTCACATTACTTTTGAAATAATTTTTTAAAATCCCCCGATGTTTGTATGGAGCGCAACATTTTTTTATGGTTTTTTTTTGGTGGAAAATAAATGAATTTTTGGGTTAGAAATATCGACTTTAATGAAAAACTTGCCTTTTAATGTCCCCCCACCCCCTACCCCCAATCATCAAAAATCATTAACTGTCAAGCTCAAAGTATTAAACTTGGTTCCAGGGAGAGTGTGGATTATAAATCAACTAAACGTAAATTCTACAAACTCTTCCATCTGCCAGAAGGAGAAAAACTAGGTATTTCCAAATATATTTATTTAATTTTTAAAAAAAATATTGTGAATTGAAAATTGGTTTTTAGTTTGGTTTCATTTAAATATTTTTAATTTTTCAACTATTTATTTTGTTAATTCTTTCATTTATTTATGATAAGACTTGTTATTTTAATTGTGTAATATTCATTGGTTGTTTGATAATCAAGTGATCGATGATTCTAATGATAATTTGATTTAAGTAATTGAATTAATGACTATTTTTTAATTGATTGATTGATTGATTGATTAGTGTCCTACTACTCATGTACGCTGTGGCAAGGAAGAATCCCTCTCCAGGTATAAGACTGACCTCAAGTCCAGGAGGGGGGGGGGGGTAATTTTAAACCAAAAAATATCAGCTCAAATTTTTAATTCCTTGATTTATTTGCAACCTAATGTTAGAGACCTTTGATATTTCAAACTATTTATTCTGTTTACATGTTGCTAGCGAAGATATAAGGATTAGACACTAATTACTAATTTGTTTAAGGGCTGGCTCTACCTCACAGTTAACAACCTTGCTTTCTACTCATTCATACTCGGCAGTGAAACGAAGGCATATATTATTCTCTTTTTTTATTGAAACTTTGAATTTTTCTTCATTATAAAGTTGATTTTCTCCATTTTAAAGTTGATATTCTCCATTTTAAAGTTGATATTCTCCATTTTAAAGTTCATCTTCATTTTAAAGTTGATTTCTTCATTTTAAAGTTTATATTCTCCATTTTAAAGTTGATATTCTCCATTTTAAAGTTGACTTTATCCATTTTAAAGTTGATATTCTCCATTTTAAAGTTCATCTTCATTTTAAAGTTGATTTTCTCCATTTTAAAGTTGATCTTTATTTTAGACTTGAATTTCTCCATTTTAAAGTTTATATTCACCATTTTAAAGTTAATATTCTCCATTTTTAAGTTGACTTTATCCATTTTAAAGTTGATATTATCCATTTTAAAATTGATATTCTCCATTTTAAAGTTGATATTCTTCATTTTAAAGTTGATTTTCTCCATTTTAAAGTTGATCTTCATTTTAAAGTTGAATTTCTCCATTTTAAAGTTGATTTTCTCCATTTTAAAGTTGATTTTCTCCTTTTTAAAGTTGATATTATCCACTTTAAAGTTAATTTTCTCATTTTAAAGTTGATATTATCCATTTTAAAGTTAATTTGCTCAATTTACAGTTGATTTTCTCCATTTTTAAAGTTGATTTTCTCCATTTTAAAGTTAATTTTCTCATTTAAAAGTTGATATTCTCCATTTTAAAGTTAATTTTCTCATTTAAAAGTTGACATTCTCCATTTTTAAAGTTAATTTTCTCATTTTAAAGTTGATTTTCTCCGTTTTAAAGTTGATATTCTCCATTTTAAAGTTTATTTTCTTCATTTTAAAGTTGATCTTCATTTTAAAGTTGAGTTTCTCCATTTTAAAGTTGATTTTCTCCATTTTAAAGTTGATTTTCTCCATTTTATTATCCATTTTAAAGTTAATTTTCTCATTTTAAAGTAGGATAATGCTTTGAAACAAAAATGAAAGACCTGGAGAGAAAAAAATAAAAAAAAATTTTACTGGGAGAAAATTTTTTTAACATTTTGTTAGAATAAATATGGACTAGATTTTGTTTCGTTGGACGGATGTAACAGATATAGAGAAAACTCCAGGCTTGCTTCTCCAGGTAAATATGGACTAGATTTTGTTTCGTTGGACGGATGTAACAGATATAGAGAAAACTCCAGGCTTGCTTCTCCAGGTAAATATGGACTAGATTTTTTTTCGTTGGACGGATGTAACTAAAAAACTTAAAAAATTTGTTTTTCAATGCTATTTTTTTCATAATTATACTCTTAATGATATAATTTTAAAAAATTACAAGGAGTTCCCACCTCAGATCTATCTGCATGCCTTGCTTTTCCACTATAGTTTCAGTTGGAGTAAATATTTCCATCTACTGTTTAGCCCGATAAAAGGATTTATCTCTAATTGGATGATGAGATAGATAGAAAGATAGATGATACTTCCAAGCAATTTCTATTGGTTCAGAATAGACACCAAACACATGGCTGAACCCTGATTGGATAAGGCGCTAATGGAATCGCATAAAAGTGTGATTTCATTCAGTAGAAAAAATAGCGATAAAATTTTTAGCATATTTTTCTGTTTTCACTTGTGGTTTTTCCAATATTTAAAATGGAGGGACCATTTTTTATTATTTGGTCCTAATCCATAAAACTATTGGAACCACCAAACAATCAAACAAGCAAATAATTAAGCAAACAAACAAATTAATGATCAATTAGACATTTAACAGAAAGACATATATTTGTACAGCTTTTGAAATGAAAATCATTTAATTTTTTTCAGAGCAGCATCAAAATTTCAACCCGAAGTGAGAGTTACATATTCTCACTGTTTAACAAGGTAGTTTTTACAAAATGGAGTGTTCTTGAAGACTATCCTAGTATTAATGTTTCAATGTTGCTATTTTCATTTCTTTTCCATGTTTTTGTGTGGGAAGAATTATTATTTTTTTAAATATTTCAATATTCCAAATAATATTCCTAAAAAATTATTTTTCCTTTCTTTCTGCAGTTTGCAAATTCTTGAGAATTATATAAAGTTTTCTTTACAAAAACATTTATTATTTACACTCCTTACGACCTTTTGCAAACATTCCATTTTAGAATAGCAAACTCGTAATAGTAATGAAGTTATTCTAATGTGCCATGTACACTGTACACTGTACAGTGTACACAGTGGGGCCTATTGAGTAACATTTTGATTTAAATAGTCTAATGTACAGGAAATACATAAAGGCGGTTTTATTTAAAAAAGATTTTTAGATAAAATCGCATTTTTACTAATTGCTTTATAAAGATATTTCAAAAAAAATATAAACGGTCTTATGGGTCCTACTGTAGATAATTGTATTTTATCTGATTTAAATCAGTGCTTAGGATCCGGATCCGTTGGAACCGCAAGATTTTGGCTTCCTGGATCCATATCCAAGGGGTAAAATATCAACCAAAAACTGCAAGAAAACTTTTTTACTCCTAAATCCCAAATCTGAACTTTTGAAGAAAGAAAGATTATAAAAATTTCCTTATTTCTGAATGGTTCATCAAGTTCTAAGATAAAAATAAGCGAAAAAAAAATTAAACAAAAAATTTGAATATTTTTTTGTTAAAAAAATTCAGGAAATCTTAAATAAATGACCTGGATCCGGATCCGGATCTATGTTTTACCAGTGCGGATCCAGGATCCGGATCCACATCTAAATTAAATGGATCCTAAGCACTGATTGTTCAGGAAGGGTATGGATTGATTTCGCAGTTGGCCAATATGGGGATTCGACAACTTATATCAGACAGAGCCTTTCAAGAGGAAAACATTCATTGACCAATTTTAAAGTTATTTTTAACGCAATATTTTGATCAATTTTATATTGTTCCACTTTTTGACTTACCTTATTTATTACTTATCATTTAAAAGTTGCCACTTTTTTATTTATAAAAATAAAATGTGTTATTTTCAATAAATGAATTGTGCAAGGACGAGTCCCTACTCCTGAAAACAAGTAAGAATGTTGCCAGAAAGACTTCATTTCTCAAACGTGATCTTGATGCTAGGTGAACAAAAATCATTTAAAATTTGCTAAGAATCCGGAATTTAAGGGTGTGAAATTTTTCTAAAACAATTTTACAGAAGCAAAAAAGTATTCCACTAGGAATATTAAGACATGTTTATAAAATATGTTTTTCACAAAAATAAAAAATGTGCCCCTCAAATGGGGGTTAATATTTAAAAAGTCGATAGAATAAAGGAAAATGAAAATTTTGAAATACTTATTAAATTGGGTATCATTGAAACCGAATTGAATTTCTGAATTCCAATCAATTCACAGAATCGAAAAATATTGATTAAGGTCAACAAAGACATTTTTTTAGTACTATAATGAAATTTATTTAAAGAAAAAATCTATTATTAAGATTGTCAATTTTTTCATTTTCGCTAACACTAGTGATTTTTTAAAATTAAACCCCATTTGAGGGGCCCATTTTTGAATTTTGTGAAAAATGTATTTTATAAACATAGAATTCCAAGTGGAATACTATTTTGCTTCTGTAAAATGATTTTAGAAAAGTTTCACTCAATTTCACACTGGATTCCGGATTCTATGGATGCATAAAATATCGGCTTCCTGAATTCGGATCCGAAAAAATATCCAAAAGAGGCAAAATCAACCAAAAAACCCCATAGTTCAGAGACACTTTTTGTAAATTATTCTGAAATAATGCTACCGAAGCCACAGGCTATGGAAAAGTAATGTGAATTTTAACAACTTTTCGTTGTATCTGAATTTCATGGTTTTACTATAGAAATCATACAAAGTTTGAAGATTTGATTTTCATTAAAAAATAACCAGTGAATTGTGCACGTGTATGTTTATTTTTCTTACCAGTAATTACGCTGTACACTGTATTATTGTTTATGCCAGTAATTTTATGGACAAGGGTAACTTATTTTTCCTGTAATATACACATTTTGTCCCTAATGTTCTATATACTGTCATTGTCACTATTTCATTGTAAGTAGCTTGGAGACCTTACACTGCAAGGAAAGTTAACTGCAGTTGCACATACTCTGCGTACAAATTGAAACCAGTTCTCTCTGGGCGGAATTTGTAAACAAGAATATATGCATCATTGTTCATTTAGTATCAGAAGAGGTTAAAAGCATGACATTTTGATCATTTTGATAAGTCACATAATAGTTTCCTATGACCAGAATATTTCATTGATTTTTGATGTGAGAGATGGATCCCGTGTCAGGCTTCGACATCCGTCTTATGTTTACCGCCCAGAGACAGTATGCCGCAGTACTAAAGATGGGTACACCTCTGAAATAACTTTCCTTGCATTATAACCTTGACACTGAGCACATACTGTACACTGAGCACATACTGTACACTGTGAACTGTTCAGGAAAGAAACTGAAGCGTACCGAGCCATGTTCTGCCTGCCAGGAAATGAGACCCTCGATGGGAAAGTTGTGTGTTTTCTCTTCACGCCGTACAACAAGAAGTACAGGTACAGGATCATCTACTGTTTTACAGTTTTTAATATTCAATATCTTAACGGTTAAAGTATTTTTTCCAGTGCTTAGGATCCGGATCCGGATCCAAGGGGTAAAATATCAACAAAAACTGCAAGAACAACTACTCCTAAAACCCATCTCTGAACTTAAAAAAAAAATTTTTTAAAAATTTCCTCAGTTCTGAAAGTTTAATCAAGTTTTAAAATAAAAATAAAACAAGAAATTTAAAAATTATTTTTTGTTAAAAAATTTAGTAAATCTTAATGACCTGGATCTGGATCCATTTTTTCCCAATGCGGATCCAGGATCCGGATCCGGATCCGCATCAAAATTAAATGGATCCTGAGCACTGATTTTTTCATTCAATACACTCATCTTAATGTTGAATTTTTCATAATTTCAAACCACTGATTGATTGATTGATTGATTTTTTATCAAACTCTTTGAAAACTGCAGTGCATTCTCAAGAAGCCCTAGAATCTTTCCTATTCTTTTTTTGTGTGAGTTTTCATCTCAATTTTTATTGATTTAATTAATTGTAGCTTTGAGTTTTATTTAGATCCGGCCATGTTGGCTGTTTTTCTTCCTTTGTTCAATTACCAGATTTTATCGAAAGGTTCTAGAAATAACTTGCTTGCTAGCTTAACTTTAATGATATTAATTAAAGGTCAAAATATTTCATCAAAATTGTCTAACTGCACCAAAAATAAAGTATGCTTTAGGAACTTTACCTACTTCATGTTCTTTGTTTAGATTCGGAACACTGTTACTTGGAACACGATTTTCTTACTTTATGGCCTTAGATTTTATATACCTTTTTCTTCTAATATAATTTGCCTACTATATGTCCTATGTTTAGATTTGGAACACTGTTCCTTGGAACATGATTTGCCTCCTTTATGTCAGTTGTTTAGATTTTGAACACCTTTTTCTTTAAACATAATTTGCCTACTTTTATATTCTATGTTTAGAGTTGGAACACTGTTCCTTGGAACATGATTTGCCTCCTTTATGTCCTTTGTTTAGATTTTGAACACCTTTTTCTTCGAACATAATTTGCCTACTATATGTCCTATTTTTAGATTTGGAACACTGTTCCTTGGAACATGATTTGCCTACTTTATGTTCTTTGTTTAGATTTGGAACACTGTTCCTTGGAACACGATTTGCCTGCTTCATGTCCCATGTTCCTGGCCTTGTCAGTCTTGTCATTCCTCTTAAAGGTAATTATTTTTATTAAAAGTTGATAAAGGTTTTCAGGAGGTCCGTCAGGGTCCTTTTTATATTCACTTTATATACTCTTTATTATAATAAAATAAGACGTTCGTATATATATATATATATGATAATAATGTTGCGTATAGCCGGCCAAACTGCTGGACCGATTGAGCTGAAATTTTTATGGACACTCATGGGTGGCCGGGGGGTCTTTTAGGCTAAAAAACCTTTAATTTTTTATTCAATTCTTTATTTAAAATATTTAAAAAAAAAAAAATTCCACGGGCAACGCTTGTATTTTTATAATTTAGATGTTGCCTGTATAGAGAAGACAAATTTAAACGTCAACAACGGAAGCTTTGATGAAGGAATTGTTTTCTCAATCAAAAACTGTAAAAATAATTTTGTTTTTGGACAGGTAATTTAACAACTTATTTAATAAAGATATAGGTGTTTATATTTTTTTAAATACCACCCCTTACCCAAGTAAAATTCTCTAAATTTGGGTTTTAAGTTTTTTTGTTGCTAAATTTGTGGAAATAAATCATACTTAGAGGAAATTGAATGAATTATTAGGTAAAATTTATGGTAGACATGGTAAACATAACCCGCCACGCGGCCACCCCCCATCTTCAAAAATCATTCCTCCCGGTCACACTTCGCCCCCCTCCCGTCCGAATATGTAGTGCATAAATAAAAATCAGGATTCCAGTCAATCTAACAACTGATGGTTGACTTTCCATCAATTGATTGATTTTGAAGCTAATGTATAGCTTAACACCGAGTAAATGAATTTTTTTCTTATGAATAGATTTGACTAAACATGGACATAAAACGATTGATTGATTGATTGATAGATTGATTGATTGATTGATTGATTGACTGATTGATGAATTGATTGATTGAATATCTAATTGATGAAGGTGGAGGATCGTGATTTTGTTGTGGAGAAGCTATGTGAGTTGTTGGCTGCAACAACAGATTTATCCCCAGTGCAAATCTCAACTCCAGTGCTTCCTAGCTTTGAATGTATTGAACCTCTTATGAAAATATTTAGGTTAGAATCTTCAATATTTGAATTTTAATTCTCTGTAATTAATTACCATTAAATTTGGTTTGGGGGGGGGGGGGTTTAGTGGAAATGTTAAGTTATAAAGGGTGCTGGGAGGGATAGTTCCTAAATAACAAAATCACAGTGGGGAAATTTATGGATACAGATATTTCAAAGAAAAGGACAATTCATAGGCAAAAGACAGGAAGCTCTGTTTGAAGTGTCAAATATGTTGTCCAATGGTTTGTCTTCTGTATATTTTTTTATGAATGAAGTTCATAAAGAAAAAATAAATGCATTTAATTAAAAGAAACTTGTGTCCTGTGTAGGGAGAGTGTTGATCTGACCACAGAGGCCTGTAAAGAGATCTCTTGGGAACATCTGTTTGGAGAGTATGGTCGGGGAATATCTATGTACAGGTACAAAATATCTATGTACAGGTGCAAAACACAATTCTGGGGAATATTTTTCATTCATCAATTTTTCAGAGATATTTCCTCCCCTTTTCATAACAGTTTTTTTTTTTACTTATTTATTCAATAATTTATATGTGGCCCTTTAATGACTTGGATGGCAGTCTAGTATTTTAGAACGGATGAAACAACCCAGCTTGTTACCAAGGGAATCCCTAACCGGTTCCGACGTGAAATATGGATGACATTTTCAGGGGCCATCTTTGATTTAGAGGTATGTACTATAAAGTAATGAATTACTAATTTTTTACACAATATGTGTAAATTTCCTGTTAAGTGATTTGTAAAATGTTTCAGGCCAACCCTGGTTACTATAGTAAACTGGCTGAGGAAGCAGTCAAAGTAAAAAGTCTTGCTAATGATGAAATTGAGCGTGATCTTCACCGCTCTCTCCCTGAACATCCAGCATTCCAGGTAGAACATTCAGCCCTTTCAGGTAGAAATCCAGCCCTTTCAGGTAGAACATCCAGCCCTTTCAGGTAGAACATCCAGCCCTTTCAGGTAGAACATCCAGCCCTTTCAGGTAGAACATCCAGCCCTCTCAGGTAGAACATCCAGCCCTTTCAGGTAGAACATCCAGCCCTTTCAGTTAGAACATCCAGCCCTTCAAGGTAGAACATCCAGCCCTTCCAGGTAGAGCATCCAGCCCTTCAAGGTAGAGCATCCAACCTTGACTTATATAAAAAAAAGCAATTTTTTTTAATTAACAAAATTAAACGATTAATTATTAGAATTATTAAGGTCGAAACAAAAATTGGAATTGACGCTCTAAGAAGAATATTGTGTGCGTACGCTGCCAGGAATCCACATATAGGATATTGTCAGGTTAGTTCAGCAAATCTTTTTTAATAAAAAACTACAATGTTTACTATCACTGTTATGTACATGTTTGTGCTGTTGTCACTTGACTTATCAAGTCAACATAATCATCTTTATATAAAGTAGTAATCTCTGTTTGTTTGTCTGTCTGTTTGTTTGTTTGTCAGATCATAACTCATTCACCCCTCGACCGATTTGCCTCAAATTTTTAAGCAAGCTTCATAGAATAAGATAGCTCTAGTTTGGGTTGACATATTTTATATTTCCAGACAATGCTAGGTTTCTGAGTATGTATATTTATATTTATAATTATAAGGATTGACAATCATATGTTTTCCTTTTGAGAGATAAATATTCCATTTCTGTAGAGATGTTCCTTTTATGTCTAGCGGATTAATTTTGTTATTATTATCTTCAAAATCATCAACAATAAAATTGCTAATTTTACAAATGCCAACATGCAGTATTTTTTTGTAACAGGGTAAAAATATATTTATTTAATTAATATTCTAATTTAGTATTTTTTTTATTTAATTACAAAGCATAATATCGGAGGTAATTAAGATATTTGATTATAATTTACTATGTAGTCTGGACCCGCCTAACCAGATTGAGTTGTTTTAATTGAGGGACCCAAAGTGAATAAAAATTGTAGACAAATTACTTGTAATTTAAACACAATCAGGGAAAAGAAATCTGAATTTTAAAGAAATTAGAATTTTGACGTATACGGTGCAACAGTCTCAATTTAAGTAGTATATGTTATCCACTTTTAGGCCATGAATATAGTTGCCAGTGTTCTGATGATATATTGCGGTGAAGAAGATGTATTTTGGTTACTGGTCGCTGTATGTGAACGTTTACTTCCTGATTACTATAATACTAAGGTAAGAAGAAAAACTTTTCTCTTTTTGTCAGCATTTATTTCTAGTATACTACAATGAAAAATTTAATTTAACAGAGCTTAAAACTTTAGAATGAGATATCCTTAATCCCGATTACTTAACCTGGGTATCCAATTGACACACTTTTGATTTTCTTCTTAAACCGTTCTTTCTTGGATATAGTAGAGAAAAATCAAAAACGGTTTTTTAAAATTAGAGAGTCTCCCGTTTCTATATATAATCTTAAATGGTGCGCAAAATTTCAAATTTATCAGCTTCATATACACGACTCTGATACACTTTTCAGGATACAAGTACAAGATTAGATTAGTCTCGATATTAAGAAAAAGAGAGGATCAAGCATTGATCTCGATATTTCAGCTCTGATCACTCTTTTTTAACCTTTACTTGACGAGTACTATAATACTAAGGTCTGGTGAAGATCACAATATTTAAACATTTTCTTCCAAATATAAAACCGATTAGACCAATATATGTTACATGCAGGACCTCACATTACCCTGGGGCATGCCTCCAATATGTTACATGCAGGACCTCACATTACCCTGGGGCATGCCTCCAATATGTTACATGCAGGACCTCACATTACCCTGGGGGATGCCTGGCCTTAAACAAATAGTTTAATAAAAAAAATTGGAAGAAAAAAGAAAAACCTTGAAAAATAATGATAATAAACGAATAAAAAATGGTTGCTGAACTCCTGCAGGTTGTTGGTGCTCTGGTGGATCAAGGAGTTCTGGCAGATTTAGTTAAACAATTTCTTCCAGAGATTGATGCAAAGGTTAAAAATTTATAATAAATATTTTAATAATTTGATTATTTTCAATGTTATTTAGTAAATCTAGTTATATTTGTTTATTTTTCTCAAGGTTATGATATATAAGATAATATATACCATACCTAAATCACTAGATAAAAAGTAGGGAACATTTTTTTGCAAAATTGTATCTTGAAAGTTAACTAATAATCAATCAACAATGAAATCCACCAATAAAAACTGTAGAAAATTTATAAAGAAGACAAGGGGGGAAATTCTGTTGAACATAATTTAATCACAATCTCTCCCTTTTCCTTGTCACCACTTTTCACTTTTCAGCTGATCCGGTTCAGAAACATAGAATGAATTGTGTCCCTCTTGCGGACAGTTTTGTTACTATTCTTTGGCCGGTCATTATCTAGTCTAAGTAAAGGGCCGACCCCTGGGCAATTAATACATTGAAGGGTGGTATTTTTCGACCTACGCAAATCCGGCATACTTCACTTCTTACCTACGCCAAATCCGCTATATTACACATCCGACCTACTAGCACGTGGTTTTACAGCTGTTATATGGACTTGTGGCCGCAGCGCCCGGCCCCTAGCCTGTCCTAGCCGCACCGCTCGCCCCAGAAATTGTCTTAACCTAACCTAACCCTCAAATAATACAAAAATAAACAGCTGGCGTAGGTCCGATATTGCAGGAGGTCGGAAAGTTAGTAGGTCAGAAGTTTAGTAGGGGGGATGTTGCGTGTAGACGATGTAACATTACCCATAGAAGGCATGCACTGGACGAGGTTAATGTGACTTATTTCTAGATTGAAGATTTAGGGATGCTACATCTAATTTCCTTGTCCTGGTTTCTCACATTGTACGCTAGCGTTGTTCCCTACAATACAGCAGTGTATGTCATGGACTGCTTCTTCTATTCTGGATCCAAGGTATGTACAATGTACTCTCTGATCCTCAGCCGTGTACACGGAGATACAATGCTACCCACAAAAGATGAAACTTAATGGACAACTAAACGAAATTTTGTTCAGATTTTGTTCTTAAATTGTGGGATTCAATGTTCAGGTTTTTAAACCTAAAACGCGGAAATAATGTTTTTAAAATTTTTATTTTTCATCTAGATTTTTATTAAATATTGATTTTCTCTAGGTCTTGTTCCAGCTTGGAATGATGATAATGCACAAAAACCAAGATTTTTTGCTCAGCTGTAGGGATGATGGTGAGGCTATGATGAAACTTGGAAGGTAATAATCCCCACCTCCCACACAGAATCCCCTACCCCCCCCACACACACATACATGCTGACACTTCTATTCTTTCGATTATAAAAAAAACTTTTCATTGAAAAAATTTCTTGCTGGAAATTTTTTTGAAGATAATGTTAGGAAACCATGTCCGGATTTTGATTCTTTATCCCTAACAGAGATTGATATTTCCTTTTTCTCTTTGAAACAATTTAAACGGAAGAATTTTACATGAAAAAAATATCATAGTGAGATATAGTGAGTCTAAAACGACCAAGAAAGAGGTCTTTCATATGCCGAGCTGTTCTTGAAAAAATTTGTCTATTTTTTCTATAAGACAGCGAGGAGGCCCAAAATTTCTGATCTAAGTGAATGAATAATTGAAAGGTTTTTATGAATAAAAAATATTTTTAGATTTTTCCAAACAATAGTCCGGGATGAACCAGATGTGGTTGAGGGGACTCCAGATGATATATCAGTCACCATTTCACAGCTTATCCTGGAGGCACATCAAGCATTCGTTATCACAAACCAGGATATCGAGAAACTTAGGTGAGACATGAAAAAAAACAGAGTGTACTTGTTTACTTGAAGTGTTGAATCAAGCGTCCCACTTATAGGGACTTTGTAGATACACCTTTCAGATCTTCCAATCTGGTAAATTATTTTTTCATTCAGTTTCCTTCTTTTTAATCCTCAGACTGGCGGAGTTTCCACTGTGTGTATTGGCTTCTGAAGGAGCCAACCGTTCTGGCGTTTTTTATTTCTTTTGGTAGGTCATTCCATTGTTGAACTACACGATTAGAGAAAAATCTTCTTCTCAACTCTGAATTTGATAGTTTACTTTTAAAGTTCAAGGGATAATAACTCTCTCTCCTCTGTCTTCTACAAACTTGAACCAAACTCTTCTATCAACTCTATTCAATCTCATGTTAAATTTTGAAAGTTTGGACCATGTCAAACTGAATCCACCTGTCCTTCAGACTAAGTAAGCGAATTCTTTTAACCTGTCTTCGTAATTATTGCTGCGAAGTCCGGAGATCATGGTTACAGCTCTTTTTTGTACGTTTTCTAGCACTTCTTGATCCTGTTGAAGTGTATATTGAGTGTATATTTTGCTAAAAAAAAACATTTTCTAAGGTTGGAAAATTTCTGCGAAATTCTTTATTGCCGAATTGAGAAAAATAGATTTAATTAATTTATTTTGGGGATCAAGTATCCTGAAGTTGAAAAATTTGCCATTTGAAGTATTTTTTCTCTAAAAATTTATAGTTAACTTGATTAAGAAATTTTTAATCAATGCTTGAACAAGTTTATAAACAAATATGTGTTAAAACTGTTAATAATTTTACCATTGTGCCGCAGTTAAGGATAACGGCTTTCCGAGGTTTCATTGTTGGTTTGGATTTAAGGACCAATGCATCTAATTCTCTGAACTACTGTGAAGGTCATATTATCTTTCTCTGAAGATAGAAAGAATATAACTCACTGAAGCTTCCTCAGATTAACGAAATCAATATACAAAGTATCTGAAAGTAAAAGAATCAATTATGAGGCCTTTCAATGAATTAGTAATAGTAAAAGAAAACAAATGTAGGAATAAATATCTGACATATTAAACTACAATACAGAAGTACAATCCATTGTGTTTGATTTCTAAATTAAAACATCGGTAATTTCATGTTCGATTTCTAGATTTAAACATTGGTATTTTCTTGTTTGATTTCTAGATAAAACATCGGTATTTTTATGTTGGATTTCTATGCTAAAACATCTTTATTTTCATGTTTTTTTTCTAGATTAAAACATCGGTAATTTCATGTTAAAATTTCTAGATTACAACATCGGTAACTTTACGTTTGAATTTAAGATTGAAACATCTGCATTTTAATGTTGGATTTTTAGACTTAAACAGTGGTATTTTTAAGTTGGATTTCTATGCTGAAACATCTATATTTTCATGTTTGATTTCTAGATTAAAACATCGGTATTTTTACGTTTGATTTCTAGATTACAACATCGGTATTTTTACGGTTGATTTCTAGATTACAACATAGGTATTTTTATGGTTGATTTCTAGACGGAAATATCGGTATTTTTATATTTGATTTCTAGATTAAAACATAGGTATTTTTATGTTTGATTTCTAAACTTAAACATTGGTATTTTCTTGTTTGATTTCTAGATTAAATCATCGTTGTTTTTATGTTGGATTTCTATGCTAAAACATCTTTATTTTCATGTTTATTTTCTAGATTAAAACATCGCTAATTTCATGTTAAATTTCTAGAGTAAAACCTTGGTATTTTTACGTTTGATTTCTAGATTACGCATCGATATTTTTATGTTTGAATTTAAGATTGTTACATTGATATTTTTACGTTTGATTTCTAGACCTAAACATCGGTATTTTAATGGTTGGTTTCTAGACGGAAATATCGGTATTTTTATAATTCATTTCTTGACTTAAACATCGGTATTTTCATGTTTGATTTCTAGATTAAAACATTGGTATTTTCATGTTTGATTTCTAGATTAAACCATCGGTATTTTTACGTTTGATTTCTAGATTAAACCATCGGTATTTTCATGTTTGATTTCTAGATTAAAACATCGGTTGAAGGTTGTTCAAAACCTGGAAGATGGCCAGATGAAAAATGTTATTCGGAGTGTAGCAAACTTTACACACTTCTCACAGGTTTCTATTAGAAATATTTTATTTGCATTGATTGATTGACACTGATATTGGAGTGGATTTATTTGACTGATGGATTTATAGATTAATTGGATTTGTTGACTAACATTTATTTATTCATTTATTTAATTTAATGATTGATTTTATAGAATTGATTGATTGGTTGATTGATTTAATTCATTTAATTGATTGATTTGTTTCATGAATAAATCAATTTTAAATTTATAATATTTAAGTTATTGATTAATTGATTGTTTCAGTTTTTTTGTTCTGATAAGAATAAGCAGCTGATCATAGTTGATTTATTGTTAAGGGTGTTCTGGATAGTTTGTTTGTTCTGACAAAGAATTAGCTGCTGATCATAGTTTATTAATTGATTGACGCTCTGAAGAGTTTGTTTGTGCTAATAAAGAATTAGCAGCTGATCATAGTTTATTGAATGATTGATGCTCTGAAGAGTTTGTTTGTGCTAATAAAGAATTAGCAGCTGATCATAGTTAATTGATTGATTGATGCTCTGAAGAGTATGTTTGTGCTAATAAAGAAGAGCAGCTGATAAAAATTGATTGATTGTATAGGATGCGCTGAAGAGTTTGTTTGTGCTAATAAAGAAGGAGCAGCTGATAAAAATTGATTGATTGTATAGAATGCGCTGAAGAGTTTTGTGTTAATAAAGAATGAGCAGCTGATCTTATTGATTAATTGATTGATTGTTTAAGATGCGCTGAAGAGTTTTGTGTCAATACAGAATGAGCAGCTGATAAAAATTGATTGATTAATTGTTAAGGATGCGCTTAAGAGTTTGTTTGTGCTAATAAAGAATGAGCAGCTGATCAGAATTGCAAATGCAAAAGATCCAAACTCACAGGAAAGTTGAATCATAATAAAATTGTCTGGTCTTGATTATTAAATGAAATTCAAGCAAATGTACATTTAATTAGTCACATTTTTCTTGTAGTTTTTTTAAGTATAAGTAACTAAGGTATGTTTTGTACCTAAAACTGGTTATTTTGGTCTAATTTGAAATATTGGTGGATTTATATAACCCATATAAGAAAGTTTTCCGCCAATGTGTGCTGATAGAGGGGAGGAAGGCCAACCACATCAATCTCTAGTCCGAACCACATTCTCATCATTTTCTTGTCCGAACCACATCAAAATCCTCGTCCTTTCAATATTATTTTTTTTAAGTGTCCGATCCTTGAAAATAAATACATTTTTTAGAAATATGGCGACGTTAGGGCATAGATGAAATATCAAATTTTCCCAATTAAATTTTAGATTTGTGTAAAAATGAAAATGCTCCATAAACGATGTTCTACAAAAAAGCGTCTGTAAAGAGCCCTTTCTTTCGCGGAAAATGCCGCAAAACATTCTTAAACTCGATGTAAACAACTTTTTGTAATATTCCAGCTGAATTTTGGTTAGAGATATGACTTACAATTTTTATATGATTAAATAATTTTGAATTCTGTTTCGCTACTTAGCAATTTTCCTAAAGACCTAATGAAATCTCTATAAGTACCTTGTGGTATTTCTCTGGACAGGATTGTAAGACTTCCTTCTCCATAACAAAAGGATAATAATAAGGTTCTGAACGTTTATTTCTCCGAGTCTTCAAT